TACAGATAAGCAATTGGGGGTTTCGTTTTCATCTATTTCAGAGTATCCATAGATCCTATTCTCTAACTCCTCTTCTTCATATTCCTTGTCACTATCCTCCAACTCTTCTTCGAACTTTTTTTCTTCAGCTTCTTCGTCGACGTCAGCGAACCGTACTAGGGTGGTTATTACCAAGAGGAACATGAGTGATTTTTTTGAATTCTACAGGAAGGGTAAGTTCCTTACCCTTCCAGGTAAGGGTCATTTCTGAGGCTATCCAGTCGATTCTTGCTTGGGCTTTAGAAAGCCAATTGTTCCCAACAATGGCTTGATATTACCTAGCATCTGTAATAATGACATCAATAGGAATTTCTATTCCTCCAATATTAAAGGGAAAGTTGGATATCTCCCCTAAAGCCCTCTTACTTTCACCATGGACATTTATCATATTTATCGTGGAGGGACATTCGACCTTAATACCTAGATTCTGAAAGAGATGCGACGAAATGACACTTTCCAATGAACCCCTATCAACAATTAGGGGAATGGTTGCACCTAGTATCTGGGCATCACAATAAAGGGCGGTGGATTTTTTCTCAGAGCTGATACTAATATTTGCTTTTACTTTTCTTTTACTAGGGGCCTTTTTCTTCTGCAGACTCTGACCCAATTCTCCTTGTAACGCAGAGGCAATACAAAAAAGTTGGCTGTACGTAATATTAGCAAGCTTATCTCGAATAACCGCAATGATTGAGCAGGGTGAAACCAAAGACGCAATTTGAGGGAGTTCATCCTTTTGAATCTTCTTATGAATGATAAGTTTTGGCTTCGCGACAGCAACCTTAGCGGGAACTATAGGGGGTCTACTACTATTTTAGGGGCGTTATCCATTTTTTCCTCCTTATTTGCTTCTTCCTCCATTAATTGTTCCAAAGTTTCCTCCTCTAACTCTGCCTCTTCTAATTCTTCTTTTCTTCATTTTGCAGGATGAAGGTTACCGCTAAGTCGTTGAGGGTCCTGCTTAGCCACAGCAAACAAGAGAACGTCTTCCGCAGGGATACTAATATAGGTGTGGTAATTACTTGTACCACTGGGGATTTAGACTAGCGGCCAAAGCTAATAAAGTCTGAAGGGTTTCTTGCTGCTAATTCTCAGATGCATCGTTAAGCACAGATGGTGGTGGAGAGAAAGGAGGATTAATAGAGGCTTGAACTGGAGGCAGGTTTGGCTGGTTTTGTGAAACTGAATTAGGAGAAATTAGGTTGGGGATTTGTCACTCAACAATTCCTGCTAATATGACCAGACCAACCACACCTATAACACACAGACCGGCTGGTATTATCCAAAGTAGATGGTCTTCTCTCCTGTAACTGCAGGAGCATTTTGTTAACAGCCTCGGTCAGTTTTTCAATCGCCAAATCAGAGGTAGGTACCGGGAGTTGGACCTCAATAAGAGTGGCAAGGGTAGAGTGTGCTGAATACAAGGCATTTAATGAAGTAGTAGAATAAAGGAGACTCTGATAGCAGGCACTTTCATATGCCTTGGCACGCTCTGAAGAGTATTCGGGGTGGAGGGAGCAACGGCTAGGACGAATTCAGGTCATAGACCATTAAAAAAAATTTGAGCCTTGGCTGTTTCAGGGTACTGATGACCCCCAGATTCAACACGTTGAAGGAGCTCCTGAATGGAGGTATAGTAGCATCGATGTCTTCATTTAGTTGTTGCTTGTGGGTAGCAAGCTGGGCAAACCACTTTCCTTCCAATGTGGGGGTATGAAAATGGCTGATAAAGATGGGCCGAAAACTCTAGGTGGGATTAGCACTGTTGTTCCAAGCATTAACAGGATTGGGAAGCCTTTGGATAGTAGCCCACCAGGTTGCGGCAGACCCTTTGAGGTGAGGGACGACAACAGCAATCTTTCGATTATCATTAATTAGATTAGCTGCGAAAGCCTTTTCTACCTCATCAAGCCAGGGCATTAGATCTTGGTCGCTTCTGGCGAAGTCAGGGTAGGAAACAAGGTTTAACTCCTGATGAAGAACATTGATTTGAGCGGCAGGTGTGGCTTGCATTTGTTGAATTAGTAAACCGATCTGGGTGGCCAAATTGTTGAG